GGGGGGGGGGGGGTTGCACCGTCCTACAGTGTTCTATGGGGTGGTTCAAGACATCGTTCTTTTAGGTGTTCATGATGCTGCAACAGTTGTTTCATACATGTTCAGATCACAGCTGTCTATTAACCATCTCTGTTGAAGGATGACAAAGTAGTACTTGCAGTTTAAGTATTCCGAATTGTAGGCTCATTTCAGTCATCTTTAAATGCCAAAAGAATTATGGGTCATCCTGATAATATGTTGCTACGTCTATTGTATCTACACATGATGACCAGCTGTTGGGGTAATTGAGTGTATAGGAAGGGCTGTGCTCTGTAAGCAGTGTCCCTGTGGCAGAGATTCAAAATTACAAGTGGCTTTCCTGTGTCCTCGGATCATCAGGTCTTCCTCCTTATTGTTACCAAATGCTAGATGAGTTTCTGATAATGCACAAAGTCTTCACGTGGTCCCCGAGCCTTCTTTCTCTATTTTAACGTATTAATGTATTGTCATCAAGTTGCAGCCGACTTATGGCAACCCTGTAGGGTTTTCAAGGCAAGTGGTGTTCAGAGGTGGTGTGCAATTACCAGCCTCTGTAGAGCAGCCCTGGAATTTCGTGGTGGTCTCCCATCCAAGTACTAACTGGGTCTGATTCCACATAGTGAGAGCTTTTACAGTTCCTCAGGGCCTACAAGGGCCTGCAAGATGCATCTCTTCCGCCAGGACTTCAGTTGAGGGCAGCGGTTATCTAATTTAATCTGGCCTCCCCCCCTCCTCCCCCCCAGCGAGTCACTCTTATGTGTCTGTTGAGGTATAATTTATTTTAAAGTATTAGTCTTGTACTTATTTTATTGTATTTATTGTAGGTATTTTGTTATTCTGTTTTTATAATGTAAATCTGGACGCAGCAGATTATTATAGGTTGGAACCCGCCCTGAGCCTGCTTCGCGGGGAGGGCGGGATATAAATGGAAGGAAATAAATAAATAGCTTCTGAGGTCTGAGGGGATCAGGCTAGCCTGTGCTATTGCTGTCTCATATTTCATTGGTATTACTTCTCTACCCCAGAGCTGCCCTTCCTGCTGCAAAGTGAGGCCATTCGTGAACTGCTGTTGAATAGTGGCCAGGTTTTCCTGTATGACCAGAGTTGGCCATACCTACTTTATGGAGCCGAGCCAAGCACCTTCCTGTTGTACGCTTATTCTGGCCTCTCTTTGGACAACCACTAAATTCTTGCTTGTTTGCTTGACTTCTTCTCATTAGGTCCTTCCCCACACGCTGTCCATAAATTAGCCAGTGTGATGTAGTGGTTAGTGTCAGACTAGGATCTGGGAGTCCCAGATCCAAACCCCCGCTCTGCCATGGAAGCTTGCTGGGGGACCTTGAGCCAGTCATACACACTCAGCCTAACCTACCTCAGAGGGTAAGAGGAGGAGAAAGATGTAAGCTGCCTTGGGTCCCCAGTGGGGAGAAAGACAGGGGAATAAATAAAGTTAATAAAGTTATTGGCACCACAAAACAGTGAAGGGTTGCCTAGCAATGCAGATGTAAGAGAGAAGCACTAAAGGAGGTACCATCCTTACTGATTTTTAGGAAGAGGAGCTGTAAGCGTGTTCCTGTTTACTGGGGCTTTTAGTGAGGTCTAAGTGGCAGGCATTTTCTTGGGGTTAATAGGGCTTTATTGTGTTTAATTTGAAACTATAATCTGCCTTAAGACACAAAGGCAAGGTGGGGTATAAAGATTTTAATAAGATTTATAAATCAGTTTTAGTGCTATATGAGATCCTGCTACGACCTCATCTGTCCAAGTACACCTGCTAACACTGGGTTGTTAGTGGCTGATTAGCCTTTCATTTTTGCTATAGAATGACTTTTTAATTGGATAGCTATTTATTTTTCCCTGGATTGTTCTATTAATGTATCAGCAATATTTATTACTGTAGATGGTGTGCCAGATTTATTTTAGCACTTTCATCTTTCCAGTTAGTAAAAGGTTTCAGCAGCAAAACATGCTAATACTTTTAGAAAGTCTGAGAGCAAAATCCCTACTGTATTTCAGGGGGATGTAAGGAGGTAAACCTAAATCTTTGCAAACGTGAGAGGAGATGTGGGCTTATGTAAACTGTTTTTCGTGTTTTCTGTGAGTCTGCATCATAAATATATGTTGTGGTGCAGCTTGTAAGCAGTGTTCCCTCTAAGCTGACTTAGTGTGAGCTAGCTCACAGTTTATTAGCCTCTAGCTCACATATTTTTGCTTAGTTTAGGAAGGATGGCTCCATAGCAAACTAATTTATGTAGTAACAAAATTGTTCACTCACAACTTTAATGCCAGTAGCTCACAAAGTAGAATTTTTGCTCAGAAGACTCCGCAGCTGACAGGGAGCATTGCTTGTGGATATAATTTGCAAATCCATGTACAGAATTAGTTTGAAAGTTTCTGGTAGAACAGTTCCTCAAATGGAACCACCACTCCCCTTCAGATTTGGTGTGCGGATGGAATGTGAATGTTTGGTGCAAGTGGTTGAAACTACTTACAGTTAATGTACATACTATTTTCCTCCAGCAATTATCCCTTTCAATATCTGTCATACCAACCTCTGAACAAAATATTTAAGTTAATCGTTTTTTAAAAACAGCTTTTTATATAGGCTGCGACTAAATAGGAAACTTGTTCTTGTGTGCATATATTTATGTGTTTTTTTTTAATTGCAAGATCAAGATCTCTTGATCTTGAGAAATTCACATTGAAAGAATGGGTTTCCCTCATCCCATTCTTCAAACTATAGGTTTGATTGCAATAGGAATTTTCTTGGGAGAAGGCCAGTGATATACTATGAGTGCATCATGTGCAGTATTCTCTACTATTGCAATTTTGACAGAGTCAGAGGTACCTTGTAGCATGATAGTGTTTTATTGAGGTATGCTAGGTTACCTAAATATTAGGTAAATTAGAGGCAATCTAGATTTTCCTTTGACTAGTATATAATATAAACACAAGGGACTATTGTATTCTGTGGAATATGGCCATGTGCCTCCCCATTGCCCTCCTGCAATTCAAAATGAAGTAGTGGGATTAAATAATAGAATTTGAGTCTGCCTGCAGGATGTAGGGCTCCTCAACACCATTCTGAAGACCTCTTAATATCCCATAATGCTGTATTGTCCCTGTAGTGTACTTTTACAGTTGTATTTTGAGAAATGGAAACCTTGAAGAAACCAGAAGTGCGGGCATTGCACAATTAAATTCTATCTTTAATGTGTTTTTACTCTTATTAAACAGAGAGTTGTTTCATTCTTTAAAACAATCAGCAGTATGTACTATTATAGACTTACACTGAAAGGGTTAAAGCAGTCTCTTGTAGTGAGCACTGAAATGTTGTCTACCAGTTCATGTGCAAGGGCAGAGTACAGTTTCCATGGAAACTCATGGAATAATGTGTTTCATGCTTTCCCCCTTGCATTTTGATAGTAACATATCCTTGCATGCAAAATGCTCAGAGTTGGATTCCACTGTAATGATGATTGCCTGAAAGGAAACATATTTGATGTTTTCAGATATACAATATAAACATTTAAATTGTGGATGTAATTAAGAAGTAATGACATAGTATGCAAATTTGATAATGGTGCCAAGTCGGTATTTCTAAAAACACACTGTCAAATTTCATATATCAATTTATTTTTCTTTTCATCAGAGGTTGCTGATGGTCCTATTTTAAAAACCTGTTTTGCATAATATGCTTGCCTTCCCAGAGGTTGTCAGGGTTGTTGGGGGGGGTTTCAAAATAGAAGCATAACAAGTTAAACAAATGAATTTGGAACTTGCAGAGCCCTGTGACAGGCAGGAAATTTGTAATAAAAAGGTTCCGGGAATGGAAAATCTGCTAAATGGCTGGTTGTATGTATGTGTGTGTCTGGGTCTGTGTCTGTTACAGCGACTCAGTCAGCCTCGCCCATCTTGTTTGTGTGGGAAACTACAGGTTGGCTTTCCCTTACATTTTCAGGGTCCTAGAGAAATTCATCTTGTGTTTAGGTGACTAATAAAGTGGTCACATTTGATTTGTGAAATACTGGGGTTTTAGTTCAAGAATAAAGAGATTATGCCATAGTGAAAGTAAAATTATAAGAGATAAGAGAGCCACTAGATAAGGCAAAAGATGCATCCCTCAATTTAAGGGGAGGAGTAAGATCTCTAGGTATTCTGCCTCTAGAATCCCTTTAAAAGGATTATAGAATAGTGGCTGTAAATGTTTGTGCGTGGGAATGAATTTATATGTGTGAAGAATTTTCACCTTTTCATCTGGCAGTGGCTACCAGAAGATGATGTCACCTTGCAGCTGATTGGCTGTTTAAGCACCTAGAGCAAGGAAGAGAGAGAAGGATGCCGGCACAAATCTCTGTGGTGGATCTATGGTGTTTTCTGTCAGTTTTATATGGAATCTTTTGATCAGGGCTGAGATTGTCCATCCGTGTGGCCATGTGAGCAAACAGGAGCACCTTAGCGTTAGGGGCATTAAGAACTGTCAGAGGAATGAGGCGACTGATCTGCAAACGGATCTGCGATTGTAAGTGTTAAAATCAGGGTGGAAGAAATGAAGCAGGGAGTGTTAGTAGACACATTGTGGGAGGATGTGTAGCAGAAATGGCATGCATGTGTAGTAGGAAAGCAGGATTTTTTTCCCTTGAAAATTCTGGAATGAATTTAGAATCTGTAAGGGCTTGGTTAAAGCAACAAATCAGAATAAACAAATGTTCACATCCTAACAATTTTCTTGTTTCCATGCTAAATCATCAAACCATTAAACTATATATATTTCACTTCAGAGTCATTTGGAAAGCTATTACATGAAATGAAATAATATTTTTTTTACTGCATTGTCTTTCTTCTGGGCTGTAGACAAAGAACATAATAATTAGTATTGATTTATTTGATTTTTGGTGACTTCTGGTGAGAGCTGTTGCAAGGCAGGGTTCTTAAAAATATGGAATACTAATAAAAGGTCTTGTTTAAAACATCTTTAATAGATAAAAGCTTTGATGATGAAGAATCAGTGGATGGAAACAGGCCATCTTCAGCTGCCTCTGCTTTCAAGGTTCCTGCACCTAAAAAACCTGGAAATCCTATAAATACTTCAAGAAAGCCAGGTTCTGCTGGTGGGCCTAAGGTTGGAGGTAAGATTGAACTATATTCAAACTTGGATAAACCTTTTTTGCAGACCCTGGCACAGATAACAATGTATCAAAGAATTTTGAGGTGTGATGTTTAATTCATAACTGCAGTATTATTGCAGAGCAGGGAAGTGTGAAGGACCTTGACAAGACTGTGTTGCTTATATGAATAGACATTTTGTGTGAATATAAATAATATTCCAGTTAATATACAAGTTATCATATGTGCACAACAGAAGTAGGTTTATTAAATATTTGTGAGACCATGTTGGCCTCCTTGTTAAAGCAAGCTCAAGATTTTTTTAAAAGCAGAATGCATGCGACACATCACTAGGTGCCCTCACTTTCATTAAGGGATGGAGATGTACTTCTTGTTCCCTTGCATTGCATTATGCAGAATCTAAAGCTTTACTACACTGATACTAAAACTTCTATGTTATTATTGAATAACTGAGAAATAACCAAAATTATATATCAGGTATCATCCAGCTGTTTAACAAGAAAAAGAAAATATATATGGGCATAGTTACAAAGCTAATCTTGACAATAATTTCAGTATAAATCTGACACATTCTCTCTATTTTATGTATTGGATTGTATGGATTGTCTTACCTCCTTAAACTGGGACACAAATATATGTACTCTTTACAAAAGGAATCAAAAGGAATAAACATTTGTATGAATTTACTACTTTACCAAGCAAAACAAGGTACCATAGTGGTACACAACTATATGTCTAAGTTCCATTCGCTTATCTAGCAGATTTACCTGCAGCTTTCGATTCTACCATATTCTGGTTTTAAAAGTTGCAGAGTGCCTCATGTGGTGGGAAGTGTTTTGTTCATTTTTTTTTAGCAAGGAAGCAGTTAAAATGTATTTAAGGCAACCCAGGATGTGATTGCTATGCAAAAAGCCAAACATAATAATTTTTTTTTTAAGTCTCGTCTTGTACAAGCGTATGGTTTTAAACACAGAGCACAATAATATGCTCTGGTTGTCAGTGTATTGATATAAATCAAGGAAATTTAAAACTGTGATTTAAGTAATGATTTCGGTCTCCAAGAAAAAAACCCAGTTTAAATAATTGATTTAAATTAAAATATTCTATTATTTAGATACTTCCTAAATAAAAGTGCTTAGTAATTTGTTGCAGTAACCATAAAATATATGGATTTAAAAGTACATAGACCCTTTATGCAACCTTTAGATGGTACACTAACAGAACAATCTTATGCATATTTTCTCATATATAAGTCCCACTGTGTTCACTAGGGCTTACTTCCGAGTAAGTGTGCGTAGGACTGCATGTTTCTGAAATATTTCAGTATTTTACTTATATAGAAAACTATATACAATATATTGTTTATTTATAAATAGGGTCTCTCTTACAATGTGCAGCCATGATAACTGTTTGTAGACAGGAAATGGTTGAAATCAGCGCTAGAATGTTTTTTTTCTTTCCTGTGTTCTTTTCTGCTTTAGTCTGTCCCCATGTACATTGTCAGATAACTGCCCTGCCCTTCTCATCCCAACCACACCAGAATAATTTCATCCAGAAGAAGGGGCTGGTGTTAATTACTGAATAGATCAAGATAGGTCACCCAGATGGGTGGGTGCACAACAATGGGCAATACCTGTTGTGATATCCTAATTTTTGGCCCTTCATTTCAAGCCATAATATACAGTGCAATAGGATGAATGACAAATATGTTTTCTTATAATTCTTTACAAAGAAAAGCATTTTTCAAAAGTTCAGAAGGATCATAAATTCAGTGTGAATTTCATTTTAGACAAGTTTATTTTCAAACAAACAGCTGAAGCTTAAAATCAAATCAAATTTAGATTTTTAAGCTATGTTTTATTAAAAATGATTTTTGTCTATTCTGCTGTCCATTCTGTTGCAACAGGTGTACACTTGCTGTGAGGTTGCACTATACTCACCCTAGATTTAGCTCATTATAGAAGGGCCTGATACAATGGATCTTGGTACAGACTTGCTTTTGTGTTTGGTGTAACCTCTTAGCAGTTTACTATAAAATTAATAATACATCTGCATAGTATCTATACAAACCAGTCAGTTAGTTTTTGTAGATACTATATAGAAGTGTTACCAGAAAGCAAATACTTTCAGAACTGCCACACAGTACTTGCCTCATCAGCTTACTCGAAATGTGTAAAGCATGTTACATGATCATCTCATGGTTTCCTACATAAGCCAATAGGGTGATGTTATGTGGGAACACTTTCTGTGGCATGAGTAAGCTTATCCAAGTGTAAAAATTGTCAGTTCATAGGACTGTTTGTTGTATTAATATTTAAAATGCATGTTGGTCCAGTGCCTCTTAAAGTCTCATTTGCCACTGGGGGAGCAGCTGTCTGTTGTGTACATTATGACCACTCCTCACTTCAGCTTCCAAGTGGCTGTCAAATGAATCCTGTTCCTACATGAAAAAGTGGGACTATTTTTCTCATTGTGGGTTAATTAGAGGTGCTTTACTACAAGTAGCTCTAAGAATCCAAAATCATTTTTATTTATCATTCTACAGAAGTGGTGGATTTATTTCTAAATCTATTTTCTAATCGTTTGAGTCTTGTATCTGTTACATTCCATTTTCATAACCTGTTTTGTGGACTCAGAGCCTGAAAATCAGATATAACTATATATTTAAAAGCATGGTTAAGTTATAACAGTGACACTGGCTTACTAAACACAGTCTGTTGAAACAGAGGCCAACTCTAGCGATCTTGTTCATCTAATGTGAAAAGAGCTGTTAGGTAAATTTATGATAGTGATTTCATTTAACCAAGCTGTTGCAAGGTAACCGCAGTTAGCACATGAATGTGAACAGAGGAATTAGTTTAGGGAGACTTGGGTTCTTTATTGATTTTCGTTGCCACATCTTGAAAATAGAGCCGTAGAAGAGAAATAACATTTAGACTCATTTTTCATGTTCATTGTTGACATGGCAAAGATGACATAGTGTGACTCCTCCCAGTGTTTTTTTTTTCTTCTGAATGCCCTTCTCCTCTACATATGTTGGGATCTCAGGTACACTATGTCCTCCAAAGCAGCAAAAGTTAACATTTCCCTGAATCTGATAACAGGATGAGTATTACATCTGGGGGAAAAACACAAAGAATATGGTGATCCAGTTCAGATTAATTTCTCATTGTTCTTCCCAGTGATACTCATTCTGCGGATCGTGGAGAGCCACATCTGGTATGCCCATCACCCCAAACAATAACATATAATCCTTTTAATTATCAGAATCTCTGAGTGCCTAGAGTTGTCTTTCCTGGTAAATGGGGATTTTGCTTTATGGGCTAGCACAATGCCCTATTCCACCAGTTTATTTAGCTGCAGGTGTTGGCCCATCCTCAAACACAAAACTTCTACATCTGCACAACCTTGATAAAATAATCATGGGCAAATTCTGTTGTGATTTTAGAATAATATTTTTATCTTGGGCCCATAGTAATGATGATAGTATTCCAACTTTTAAAGAAATTGCCCACTTCCCTGGAGCATGGGGCAAGTGCCATGGAGAACAGGGCTCAGAAGACCCACATGAGCTAGTCAAAGAGCCACATATGGCTCCCAAGCCATTGAGTGATTTATCCTTACTGTGGCATTCAAGATTTTGTATAGACCATGATGATTTCTGCTGTCTATTTTGCTAAAACTATAATGCAGTCTATGTAACTGTGTTTTTTTTAGGCAAGGTAAAGGGTTTTTTCTCCCAAGAGCAGTTGAAATATAAAGGCTTATTACTGCTAGAGTAGAGGTGTGGTTGATTAATTTTAGAGGTAGCTATTTCTAGATATACATGTTGAATCATCTTACCAATGTAGTTGGTAAACAGGGTAAAAAATCTCCCTCTCTTTCTGTTACTCAGCCATCTTGAAAATAGACCCCTTATATTTGTAAGGACTACAAGAGCCAGTGTGGTGCAGAGGTTAGAGTGTTGGATTAGGATCTGGGAGACCAAGGTTTGAATCCCCACTCTGCCATTTCACAGAACAATGTGAGCAGCCTATATAGGGTTGCCAAGTCTTCTTACCTTGGCAGCGGGGAAGCTTCGCCGGGCTCTGGGAGATCCTCGATGGCGCGCGCTGCCAGCACATCACAGGAAGTGACGTGCTATGTCGCTCACGTTGAGGGCGTGGCCCAGATCGTCAGAGGGAAAACCATAGAGTTTTCCCTCTGATGATCTGGGCCACGCCCCTCTGACGATCTGGGCCACGCCTCTGGTGACGCAGCCACGCTGCGCTTCGGGGGCAGAGTTCCCCCCGGGGCCCGGTTCTGCGGCGGCGGAAATCGGGCCTCCAAAGCAGGGGTTTCCCTGCCCCCACTTGGCAGCCCTAAGCCTATACCCCCTTTCCCCCGCCTCCCAACACACCCTTACTTGCTTAAGGAGCTAGCAATAAAAATTTGAACAATAGAAAGAAAATGTGGCAAGGGAGAGACAAGAATAATAGTGAATATGGTTTTTAAGCAAAGGTCACAAAAAACAACAAGAAGAAACCTATTTAGTTGTGATCTTTTTTTAAAATCAAATTTAAATATTTTATTAGGTCATTTATAAGGTAAAAGTGTCAGTGTGTGCCCACTCAAGTGTTAAAATAAAACTGCTATTTTTATTTACAAAATATCTGGAGCATGAAAACTGCTATTTCACCCAGCCCATCACAAACATGTTTTCTGATTTGGTTAAATGAGTTGCCCTAAGGATATGTGTATTAAGTGACCTTTTGAGTGCATGACATTAAAGTATTTGCTTATTGCTAGTTCTGAGACAAAGGCATGTTGATGCTGGTGATTAATCTTTCTCATTAATGCCTTTCATATTTTTAAAAACATCATTGTCAATATTTTGACTGTATTTCACAACAAATGTAGATTCAGTTTTTGTAAGTAGCTCCGTGTCTTGGCACATTTTGATTTCAAGGTTGTTGCATTAATTTTAGAAAAGGTAAAAAAAATGTTACAAATATGCCTTATTTAGACTAGCAAACTTACTATGTTCCCTTCCCTTTGCTCAGGTATATTTCATCTTCATATACCTATTATCTTCAAACTTTCTACTTTCACCAAACTTTCTAAATAGCTTTCTTTGCCTGAAAAAGTATTATATTTGGAGTTCAGATCAATATCATTCCTGGAAATAAACATGAGTAAAAAACCCAATAGCAAAAAGTGTTCTGGACACTGAGTATTGCCAATGTTACCATTCAATGGTGACAAGTGCTTTGAGCTTCTAATGTATATTTCCAGTCTGCTTTTGATGATGGGTGAAGTTGTATTTCAATTTTTGGGAAATGGAGAACAGAGCTAGAGCTAATGGTGCAATCCCAAGTGGAGTTGCTCTTTTCTAAATTCATTGAAGTCAATGGGCCGGAAAGGGTATAACTGTGTTTATGACTGTACCATAAATTTTATAAATCCCAAATATTTCAGAGATTTAGCCTCTACCGTTCATGTAACTAAACCTCTAATAATAGCTCTTCTTACCTTCTGCTGCTGCTTCTGGTTGCCACCTCTCTGGCCTCGTGGGGGAGGTTGAAGTTTCTTGCTTACCTTCCTGAATCATTTTGATGTAACCCTTCAGTACCCTCCCCCGTCTTAGAAAGTTCAAGGTTTCTGCTGGCCTTTTACAAGACAGTCTCACCTAGCCTTTCTTTCTACATAGGATTTTGGTTTCTACCCCGGTTTACCAGTGATCCAAGCTTTTATCCTTTATATATTTTGCCAGTCTTTCTGCTGGTGTTTTTTTCCCTCTTATGAGAAAGAGATAACCATCATCATTGTGCTCTCCACAGGTAGCAGAAGCAGACGAAATCATGCAAAATATGCAGATCTGTTTAAAGTACATAATTACACTGGCCACAAAATTAATTATTCCTGGTACAGAATTGTTACACTGTCAGAGACAGTGGCCTTCTAGTAATAATTACAAATATTTTGGTACATTTTGAATAATATTCTATAGAACTGTTGACACATTAATTTTAAAAACTTGGTTAATTTGAGCTCTCAGTCGCATAACTGTCACTTTAATCTCAGACAACACATTATTTTTAACTCTTGTAGGCACAACCAAGGAAGGTGGAGCGGGTGCTGTTGATGAAGATGATTTTATAAAGGCATTTACAGATGTTCCTGCTGTACAGGTAAGGACCTGTCAGCTATATTTCTGAGATGACTTTTTTAAAAAGTACTCTTCATAGCATAAATTGCATTTCAACAATAGAACATTAGCTGTTGACAGTGTTTAATGAAACACTGCGTACAGTGAAACTTGGAATTTCCTTCTATTTCTCTTGGGCATCAGATGACTTGCCTGTGGAGGCCATGAAAACTGTCTTGTAGGTATGTTTGGTAGCTGCAGGTTTGTGTTTGTTTTTTACAGTCTTGAGTTTTAAGTGACGATTATGTGGTGGGAAAGAAGTAATCTTTCAAGTTAAGTTTGCTAATGACCTGGGGAAGAAGCAAAATCTCCTGTAATGTGCAGTTCACTAGCTAGAAGCAGCATGTGTGTGGTACTTAAGAGAGTTTAATTGGTCAGGAATCTGTAGCATAAGAAAGCCTGTCCACGTCTGCTCTCTTCCTATGGCATACGGCATTCATAGTAAGGTGGATTAATCTGTAAGGTGCTTAAATACACAGTCTGGAGAATTCTGCCTTGAGCAGGGAGTTGGACAAGGTGGTGATTAAGTCCTGTCCAGTCAGTTCTGTGTAATGTGAAGTCAATACTGAAGTCTCTTTTTTGTTGCAAAATAGTTTGGCTTGTTACATTATTGTACTACTGCTTGTCTAGTACCATAACTTCTAAGTGTTTGACAGAGCAGGTGTTTGATTTTAGGTAAAGAATATACCCAAAAGTGATGTTACTTTGTAAATACAGGCAAAAAGGACTATGTTTAGCAAGAAGACAATAGTTTATCTGTTCTTCAGAACGTTTGTATGCTCTCTCTCCAGATACCTGAGATTATAGTTTCTTTGTTGTTTGTGATTTTGTTTCTTTGTGTTGCCCATAGTGAGTGAAGGCTAAACTAACAAACCATGGTGGAAGCAGCATGCTCTGTAGTCACTGTTCCAAGATTCTGTTTTCAGCCAACTTGCCATAACCTCTCTCTTTTTAATGAAACCACTGTATGTTGTCCTGGAAGCTTTAATGATTCCTATCTTTATCGATAGCTATCGTCTTGATCAAGTACCACATCATATAAATGCAGACTACTGATTGATTGCTTGATTCAGTGTGGGCTTGAAAGCTTTACCACCAATCAGCTATCCAGTATCTATCCCAGCTTTTTAGTTTAGCCACAACAAAATTGATTTTCTTTAGTCCTGAATTATCTGTGTAAATGGTGTGAAATTAATGCTTAAGCTGTATTGATGGTGAATGTCTTGGTTAAACTTTCACAGTATGGAAAAAAATTCCTCTCTGCTAATTAATAAAGGATAGCTATAATGGTATACGTTATGTAAAATCTTAGTGCCTTTATATTTTGAAGCATGATATAACTGAAAAGATTTTTTGGAAAGGAATTCTCAATAAATAGTAAAGTAATAGTCATTAATAGTAATTAAAGCTACTATTTTTCTCTTTCTAGATCTAGTCACCTAATTTTAGCTGACATGATGGTTTAGTTGTTACTGAGGTTACAGTGGTGTTTATGTGTAGGAGGCTTTGGAATTTATGAGATTCTGCTACTGGTACAAAAATCCAACTTACTGTAGGACCAGTCTGGTATTTCAATAACCCCTCCCAATAACCCACCTACACACACCTTGATCCAAATATTTAAAAACTTTTTTAAAAGAAAAGCGACAAATAATAGAGGTAAACTGTGCTAATTACAGAAATTAGTGTCTTCTAGAAGAGTCCAGAGCTTAGCCCTTCCCAGAAATTTAGCAGAATGCCATGCTAAATTGTATCATCATTGCAAATGCAATTAATTCAATTGCTCACAGGCCATTAATTCCTGGCTCACAGGCAGTTGTGACCTGTGCCACCTTCTGCCAGTAAACACTCTAGTACCTAGGGGTAAGAATTTGAAAAAAGAATTTGAAAAGTCCACCCACTTGGAGAGGAACTCCTTTCTAAAAGGACCTTATGGCAGAATGTCCCAGTCAATGTGCAAACTACCCATTTGTGAAAGGAATGCTTCCTTGTCTGGTGATAAGTGGGCCACACAGAAATTGCACTGCTTCAGAGATAGGCTAAATTGTGCTTTAGGTTTGCTGGTTTGTCTGCATGAAATCTGAGACAACAACCTGTGCCACTACCCTGCAAAAAGAATGCCAACCACATCCATTTTTTTTTAATTAAGGGTTTGATCTCTGTGCATATTAATAGCAATCACTGCTTGACTGGATTTTTTCAAGCCCTATGGGACTGCACGGTTTCTGGGAACCTTCAAAATAACTCTTTGGGAGCCTTTGTGCATCTGTTTGTCTAAGATTGAAAAATACATGACATGTTTAGGCTACTAAACAATAAGGCAGTGTGTCCCCAAGTCTGTGCCCTGGCAAAGAACTCTGGTGAGCAGTGTTCCCTCTAAGCTGAGTCAGTGTGAGCTACCTCACATTTTTTTAGCCTCCAGCTCACACATTTCTGTCTTAGCTCAGGAAGGATGGCTCCAGAGCAAACTAATTTATGCAGTAGCCAAATTGCTCTCTCACAGCTTTAATGCCAGTAGCTCACAAAGTAGAATTTTTGCTCACAAGACTCCACAACTTAGAGGGAGCATTGCTTGTGAGAAGGCGTGCTTTTTTATTGTCTCTGAGTGTGCGTGTAAATGCTGAGCTAATTCCAAGTTGAGTGGAGGGAGTTCAGCATCTCTGTTGTTTGGCAACCCCAAATCCTCCAGAGGTGGACATCAGTGGACATTGTGCTATTGCTGCAACCATGATGCAATGACAAAAGATGAACTTACACTTAGTGAATTTTTGATAAAATTTGGTCCCAGTTAGCTTGACAATATTTAGCTATTTAGTTGAACAGCGTACCAATCCTATGGGACATTTGGCGGGGGCATCAAGTCACTGCTGACATGGTGACCCCATAGGGTTTTCAAGGCAAAAGATCTTCAGAGGTGGTTTGCCATTGCCTGCCTCAGTGTCACAGCACTGGTATTCCTTGGTGGTCTCCCATCCAAATATTAACCAGGGCCAGCCCTGCTTAGCTTCTGAGATCTGATAAGATCAGGATAGCCTTGGCCGTCTTAAGTCAGGGCGTGGGACATTTATGTGCAGAATTATATGAACTGGTGGCTGCAAAATCTAAAATATGAATTAAACATCTTTTAAAAATTAGAGTTATGTCTTGTCCTTCAAAAATTATTTTTCATACACACAATACAATACATGATGGAACACACAGTTGTACAACCTAGTTCTTAGTGAGTCAGGCAGATTATAAATAAAATATATATCATAGGATGTCTTGTCTAGACTCAATGAGATAAGTAGCCTATAAACAATCAGTTCACAGAAGGTTGTGAACACCCTGTCACAGCTAAATTAAACAATTTTTGTGTAGTGAACTTTACCTGGCATATTTAAGATTAATTATATAAGATTCTTTTCTTTCTCCAGTCATCTGCTACTTCACAATCAGTCCAGCCATGTCATACAAAAATTGCCCAGTTGAGAATACTAACTGAATACCTAGTTCTCTATTCCTAAAGTAGAAAGAGGGTTTCCAGGTATCAGAGAAGTAAGCAATGTTTAGCGCTCCCATCTCTCAGCTTAATCAAGTCAGTTAATTTAGATAATTTAGCCAACTCCCATACTTTACTTACCCAGGCTTAAAAGCTTAAACTTGTTGCTTTTCCCCAGTTTTTAGCTAACAGCACTTTGGTAGCCATCAATAAATCAAGAACCATACTACTTTGTTTATACAGAATCATATTTTCTCCATCATATCTTCTCCAGAAATAACCTGAAAATCTTCATTATCAGTTGTGAGAAAAATAAATTATCTTGCCGTGTTCAAAGAATTTTTAAACCTTGTGCTCTCTTTATAGCACTTGTCAATTAATTCAGTGTTATTTCAGTGTTTAATTTTTTTTCTTCATGTTTTCAAGGGAGCAAGTTCTTGTGATATATTGCCCTCTGTTGGCTTATTGTAGCACAGAAGAGATTTTTAAAGCAGTGTTTAAGGTCCAGCATTCTTGCAACATTTACTGCTGTTTTGTCCCTTGTGATTGCAGTATTTTTGTGTGGCATTTCCACTTACACAGTCTTGGATTATGTACTGGGATTTTTAATTTTGCTTATATAGCTGAATTAGTACAATTGAAAATATCGCTGTGTATAAAGTCTTGATTAAAGGAGGAACCTTAAAACAAGTTTTTTGAATAGGCTTATTTTAAAATATGTTGCCTTGCTTTTATTTATTTATTTGAATTGTTGAATGCCCATCTTTCTATTTTAAAATACTCAAAGTCTTCCAATACTCCCAAGTTAAAAATAGAAAACAGTTGTTAAAAGCTTAAAATGCACAAGAGCCATTATTTAATAAAGGTCTCCTGGCCTAAAAAGATTTTCAGCTGATGATGGAGGGTCTCTAAACAAGAAAGTATCTACAGATCAGACTTGCTGTTTGGAACTTTCTCTCCCTTGTACTGAAAAATCCTACCGCATAAATTGGACTGTTTCCACCTGAGTGTCCTATTGTGATCCCTAAGATGAACATAGTTTGTCTCTAAGTTTACTGTTGATGTGTCATGCCTGGAAAACAGAAGCATAGGATGATATTTGGATAGTTGCTTCCTTAGTTATGGAACTAGCTTTTATACTGACTCATCAGGTAGGGAGCCTGGGAGGCTATCAAAAAGCTGAATTTGGTAGCCATGAGCTCAAGACATCTCAAGAACTTGAAGAGTTTGTAAACAGGGCATATGATCCTGGCCGCATACTCTCAGAAAGCAGGCTATGCCGTAGCAGATAGACATGCAAGAATATGGAATTTGGCCCTTCACATACATTAACAGTTTTTGGATTATGGGAGGACTTGGATTTTCACAAGCAGGCAAAAATATGTGTATCTCTGCTTGTAGAGTATGTAACTACTCACAGAAAATCAAGGGGAAAAGTTCCCCACGTCAGATTGGCCATAAACCTGTTAACTGGAAAGGAGGTTTTGCTTGCTTGAATTAAATTAAGCATTTTTCTGTGCAGGAACTCACAGAACCCTGATCTTTTTTTTCCAGATCTATTCTAGTCGTGAACTCGAAGAAACGCTAAATAAAATCAGGGAAATCTTGTCAGATGACAAACATGACTGGGATCAACGAGCCAGTGCGGTATATATTTTTAATATTAATGTGCAGTACATATTTAATTAAATAAACTTTTAAAGTTGCTGTTGTTGTACGCTAGATCGGTGTGGAATTAGAAATGCAGTTATATTTATTCTTTAATCTCCCTTTCTCCCTTAGCTTAAGAAGGTCCGGTCACTGCTTGTTGCTGGAGCAGCACAGTATGACTGCTTTTTCCAGCATTTACGGTTGTTGGATGGAGCATTTAAATTATCAGCTAAAGATCTCCGATCACAAGTTGTTAGAGAAGCATGCATTACTGTAGCGTAAGTACATGTTAATCTGATACATTTAGAAATGTGGTTTGGCGGTGGTAGATGTATTGACCATTGAGAGTCACGTTGAAATTCAGCAGAAAATGTACAGTCTTAATTTGCTTAATTCTGTGCAATTGTATTAGTAACATTTGACATGCATGGCCACCATAGAATCCAGAGCACAGCTGTAGCAAATGTCTTTTGTTATATAGGTAGTATGGCAGTTCTCTTATCTTTACAGATCATGGCCCTGGGTTTCCTGCTGTTGCAAATCCCTTATTAAAGATTCAGTGATAAAGATACTTAATCGTAGACATGAATAGTACCCCAGAAAGATATTCATGTTGCTAAATATTAATATGCATTAGATTGTTTAAAGTAGAAATTATATCAGTAGACCAGACAACAATAATAGCTAGGGTTTCAGGCTCCCCACTATTTCTAATTTCAGCTGTTCAAATTGATGGGCTGCTACTCAAACAGTGTAGGCATGGAAGGTAATGAGAACTGATTTACCTTCTTGTTTTAATCATCTGATATATTCATATCACACTTTCTATTTTATTTTTTCAGCTCTTGTGATTTAAGCATTTTGTAACAAAAGCTGATACTTCAGAGCTCTACAAGTAATATGCCAGACACATGGGCACCAAAGTTGTTCAGATTGTGAGGTGGGCTAGCCCACCTGTGGGTAAGGACTAGTCCCTTCCAGTAGGCATTACTGCCCCCCTGCAGTTACTTGATACAGGCTTGCTGAAGTTTTTTTTGCAAGTGCCCTCTTCCTCATTGTATCCTCTCATTGGTAATTCACCTAGAATGTGGTCTTCCTCAAGTTTCTGCTTGGCCCGGATAAAAGTCTTTAAATTTAGAACTTGCCTTGCTGATCTGGAATCATTGCCTCATCTTTTTCATTTATATAACTGCTTTTTCTTGCTTATATTGATTCAAGGTCACCAATCCAAAATTAGGCTCCCTGTTTACAAAGCTAATTTTAATAAGGAAACCCCTGCCAAATAGAATTTTTATACTCACCCAGGAAAAGATTTTTAAAAGAGACTGGGGATTGTTAATTACTGATGCTAAACATATATGCTCTCCTCTACAACATCGTGTTTATGGATGCTTTCACTCTCCAGTCTTATTTTTATTATTTGACAGTTCCTAAATTTAGACAAGCATATATGTTAGGGCAATGTAATGCTTTTATTTTAATTCAGCTGAATGACGGTACAATTTAACAATATTCCTTCAGAAAACAGCAGATGTGTTTTTTGTTCTCACCTACCGGATTGCGTATTTCGTACTTATTTATATAGTTGCTATTTTTAAAAGTCCCATGATAAATATATTACTCCCTGGATTGGACACTTGGCAAGCATTCCCAATGTTCAGAAACTGAAATCCCCCCCCCCCCCCCCCCCAACAATGCATGGTGAATGATGATCTGTTTTGCTATATAACTTCTATATATCTGAAAAACTGGGGGCAACAAACTGATCATCTTCAAAAGTGTTATATGATCTCCAAGATCGTATCATCTGACTATTTGCTGTTTGAAAATAAATATTAGACTCCATTGTGTAACATTGGAGCTTCATTGATCCAGCAAAGCAGCACTGATGGGTTTGTGTTAAAAGTTTGAAAAGTACATATTAGCAGTATATAGAAAAGTTTGTTAGCATAGTACCTTTTATGGTGAATAGTTAGATAAACTGAGTAATTATATAAAGCCCTCGGGCTTATTAAATATATCTGATGACCAATGTTATTTAATTCTTTGCAGCCATCTTTCATCTATCCTTGGAAACAAGTTTGATCATGGCGCAGAAGCCATTGTGCCTACTCTGTTTAATCTTGTCCCTAATAGCGCCAAAGTCATGGCTACTTCTGGGTGTGCCGCCATTAGATTTATCATTCGTGTAAGTCTGCTTCCATTATACTGTTAAAACATGTTTATTAGCTGCAAGCATGTCGGCCTGTGCATTTTTATGTGTCCAAATCCATATTTTTAATGCCCTTCATCATGACGTATGGTGGCAGCAGAAGGGCCAGGATGAGACAGCACAAAGGAGGTGAAGTGCCAAACTGGCTGCATGCAGTCCTGCCATCTAGAACAGTGCTCTGAGAGTAATACATAGAACTGTCACTACCCTCATGCCTTTATAGAAATCTCTGGTGCAGCTTTCTTTGAGTTCTTGTCATCCCCCCTCAAAAAAGATCTCATAGCATGGGGAAACATACAGAAAACAGCAGAGTGATCAGATGTTAGGCCAACAGGGCTGTACTTGATAAAGTGTTCAGATACGGGCTTTTTAGGGGGGGGAGTTTGTTCTTTTTATCAGACTTCTTAGTTTTTAACCTCCTTGGTCATGCCATCAGAAACCTCAGAGTAACCATCTTCAAGCATTTGGGGTATGCATATGGAACGCAAGGTCCAGTAACCAAAATTTATTTAGAAATTTGACTCAGTCAAGGCCCAAACAGGGACTTACAATCTTTTTCTCACACTATAAGAGCTGAGAATAACATTGTTTTTTTGCAGAACAAAATTTGAGTCCAATGGCACCTTTAAGACCAACAAAGTTTTATTTAAGATGTAAGCTTTCGTGTGCAAGCACACCTTTTTTGTAGAGTTTTTGAAGTAATGTTGACCAACAAAGTTTTATTTAAGGTATAAGCTTTCATGTGCAAGCACACTTTTTGTAGAGTTTTTTGTCTCACAGGATGTAATGTTGACTTCAAAATTGTGTTAGATCTAACCCCCGTGAAATTATCTATCAACAGCAGCTGCTTGTTACGTGCTGAACCAGGATTCTGTTCTGCATTTTGTCCCTGGTTTGTTAATTGCAGTTAGTACTAGTTGTAGTTTTCTCCTTATTTCTGAATTCAGAAATCCTTGTTTGTTCAGTAGGACCCCCTCAGGCAGCCTTCTGGATACTGAGTTGACTATGAAGTGTGGCAGAAAAAAATTGCCAGGCCTGTTGCATTCAGCTATTAGTGATACTTTCTCAGGACCCCCTTTCCATGTCTCCTTCCCTTCACATGTGCTCTCTCAGCTACTGATGATACCAAGCAGAAATGTGCAGCAGCAATTTCTTCTTGGGGAAAATTTAAAGGGCAACACATGCTTTTATCCAGTTTGCCACATACACTACAGAAATTATTCCTCATAAAGCATTGCTACATTCAAAACTGTTCACAACTCCCATTCCACCACACCTTATCCCTGAAGAGAGGGTTCCCTTCCCCTTCCCCCCTTTATATACTGGGAGAGGGCAGGTGAGTGAGGGACCTGACCACCATTGTGTTTCTTCCAAGGTTTTATGTTTTTAGAGAAAACTTGTTTAGAAAAAGCATCACAACAAGAGATAGTAGAACCATTTTTATTTGTGTGTGTGTATACAGACAGGCAGTCAGACATCCTGACAACCCAGAGTTTGATTAAATCCAGGTTAGTGTGGTGATGTAATGTGGGGTGGCCAGCCATCTGGTTTGTTGGTCAGGTGCCCAAGTGAGAGTCCAAAAGTGCAGTCCTGGATAAAGTTTATCTGGTGTTAGCCAACTGATTTCAGTGGGCTTAAACTGGAGTAACACTTTAAAAGATTACACTGTAAACCGTGGTTTGTACTTAACAAGTAGGAATGTATTTCAAGGGCTTGAGGGTGGGAGAGAAGGGTCTATAGAAGGTCTTTCTGTTTTGAATGCAATGTAGAGAAATGCATTGCTATGGCTGTACTGAAAGAGTATAGGAAAATGTGGTGAGGGCTGTAAAAAATTCAGACTTATTTAAAAGAGGAAGGGATTGAAGATCCTTGGCTAAGAACAAGCTGTGTTTCTTGACTTGCCCCAGTTCCCCCCACACACACACCTCCTCATTCCCGTCTTGTTTATTTTATCTGGGCAGTAGTGAACAGGTTGCATAAGTAGTAAAACTTTGCCAGCTACCTGCATTTGGGGATTCTGGTTGGAGGCAGGAAAGGAGGTGGCAGACTGACTGGGAATTGTGAACGAACCATAGTCCGTTGTACATGTCTGGTAAACTAACCTGGGTTTATTCAACAAACTGGTTTAGATAAACCACAGGGGGTTTTGTGACACATGAATGTAGTCACATGCTCAACTAAAAATACTGTGTGTGAGAAGGTATTTTTCTCTTTTCAGCATACCCATGTGCCCAGACTCATACCTTTAATAACTAGCAACTGTACCTCAAAATCTGTTGCAGTTAGGAGGTGAGTATTTTTTTGCATTTATGAATGCCAACTTTACTTTTCTCCCTTAGTATAGGCTATTAGTGATTTTTCTCTTCAGGAGCTTGTATGTTACATAGAGAAAGTTTCTCATATTACAAGATATTACAGTTCCACAAGATCAAAATATGGATACATGACAGTCCCATTTGTGATTTTACTGCAGATCTGATGTCTGGATTTTTATTAAACTTGTGCTACATGCTGAACTTGTTTTATGTCTTTTTTAGGCGCTCTTTTGAATTTTTAGACCTGTTGTTGCAAGAGTGGCAAACTCATTCCTTGGAAAGGTATTTTTTCTTACAATATAGTAAAATTATCAGTAATTTACAACTTCAGTGTCTGCCTTAATCTCATGAACAGCATAGCAACAGTTATGTTTACAGCCTGTTGATAGTATGATCTCTTACTGCACTGTGTTCTGCTGTTAGTGTTTAAAAACTTGATTTAAAATTGACACACAGCTATTTCCATGTTTTTAATGAGGTCAACAGACTGAATTTTCATCAAAGTCTCTTCAGACACCATAGTTTTTGTAAGATTTTATTCTAAGGATACTATTTTAAACATTGGTTTTTCAGCCTTGATAAAATGTATAAAGATTCATTCTTAGGCGAAGTATGCATTGGGGCTCTTCATGGAATAGGTATGACCAGTAAAATCCGATGAGTACACAGGAATGAATGTTTGTTAGCAGTTCAGGAGAGTACTCGGTAACAGCCATGTGGAAGTATATAACCTAATTACTTGATTATTGCAGCCTAACAGTATCTGTGTGACTGTATCTCAGCAGGA